ACATATGCTTCTGCTATTTCGGCCATGGAGACCAGCCTCACAGGGTTAATTTGTAATTAGCTATTGCGTTTTTCTTTTGTTGGACTTCTCTGATGAATCCTGTTAATAAAATAAAAACAATGATAGAGACTCAAACACATGTACCCACTAAAATAGCGCATATAGGACATATGATTATGTAGGCCCTATCTTTATAAAAAAATCAGTTCATATCAAAAATAGAATGTTGCTGTGATACTTGGGTTAAGCTCCCCAATAATGACTTTGCGACCATGACAGAGTTGACAGCATTTACTTGGCAATGAATTATTTTCACCCTTCACGCTACTTTCCTACAGACGAAACGGCGTAAGCCTATTGCTGAACGTTTGATATTTCCATGGCAAATGTTCAGATAACCTACATTCTACCAGTTCAGACCTTTCCAGCTAGGACTCGACATACCACGTACACAGGTTCGAATCATCTCCATTCGCTTCTTTCTTAATTACTAAGAAAGAATTTCGACTCAGATAATTTTGTGGAACAGACTCCCGAAAGCATGCTTTCCCCCATTGTGACAAGCTCTTCAAGTCTATGTTCAGCCGTTATCTACCCGACATATCCTCAGGTTTGCGCTTCACCATGCGTGATACACGCTTAAGCAATCATATTTTTCGATACAGGACTGACGAGGCAGATTTTTTTTCCTGCGGTAGGTCGCCATTTCTTTCTGCGGTAGACCAGTTGCCATCCCATACAGAACCCAGTCTGTGCTGATATTTGCCCATAGCTAGGGGGCGGGGAGAAGAACAGGATTCATACTTTTCTCAAGGGTATTAGCACGTAAGGGAATGTAATGGAATTCGACTGGAATTCGGACTTAGCTCTCTGATTCCTCAATCCGAGCCGCTATCCATTAATCCACTGTGCCTCCTCCTATTACATCCAGACAGGAACCTCATTTTTTAAGAATCTATCTTGAGTGACTTTGAGACCGTGTATTGGGTGAACATTTAGTAAGAATTATATGGCCCAATATCTAGTAACTGAACTCTTCTTATTTTGCCCCAGTTCTATTTGATTGCTCTAGTTTGCAGTTCAATCAATCGCTGATCTAAACTGAAGCATGAGTTGAACGCGTTGTAAAAGAGAGCGCGGTAAAGAAATATTTATTTTCCCTAATACGTTTCTCTCTTTATGGACATTGCTATATCCATGATATAACACCGATATCTCACGGGCAGAACGGAATAGCTGAATGGGAAAAGAATAATACACATGTTTAGTTTACAGAGAGGTTTATAATGCTACGCCGTACACAAAATAAGATATATACAGTGCCCCACGCAAAGAAATTATAACATATACCTCAACAAACAATGCGTAATAAAGAGCAACCTTACTTGTTATAGTTCCCGACGGGAAAATTGGGGTTATGACTGCTTCTCTACGAACTGCGCTAGGCCATGTGATTTTCCTGTAAGATCACCGTTGTGGCCTAAGGACGTCCTTCTCTGGACTCGACAGGACAACTGCTCCCGTCAATCTCCCTCCTGAGGTCATTCACCGGCCGTCACGTGATACTCGTGACTATCTCAATGAAAGGGAGAACGTCGCCATTTGTAACCCAACAGTGTAATAAATGCCATTTAAATGTCCCATTTAATCAATCACTTGTAACGAAGTGTTTGTGAGTGGGTGTGAATGAAGATCGATACCCAAGAGTTTGACCCCAAATGAAGAATTCTCCATGGCAACTGTCGTAGTACAATTATAGTAACCAATATTGCGCTGAGTCATAAATAATTTCCGTTTTAGAGAACCAAATGCAATGACTAATGCATTACACTAGTCAATAAAAATAATTGAAATGGTGTCGAGACACCAAACATCCTTTTTAGCTAATTTGGGATGCGCTGAATCTGAAAATAACCTTACTTTTTCTTGGTTAGCGGCCGTTTTTGCTGTACAGAAATGCCTCATTTTTGGTTAAAATGCATTTTTTTTCATTTGTTTTCTTTGTATATGATATTGACTGATGGCAATATTTCTCAAGATAAAATCGTAGAAACTTCTCTCGTATTTAAGCCAACAAATATTGCTCGGTTTATTGAGAAATACAATTTTTGCAATAACAAGCAGAGCCTAAGTCTTTAAAAATAACACGATTGAATATACCAAGACCAACAAGTATTTTCATCAAATCATTTAATAAACTAACAACAGAAATAAAACCCTCGTTAACATAAGAAATACGGTATTTTTCTTTCTTTCTTGATTGTCTGTCATGTTCAATGTTATTTAAGTCCCTTTTGATACGCCAACAGTACAATGGAATAGGTACATTCAATTGGGATGTCGTTATTTAAGAGTTTCTTCCCAACTGTGAAAACAAAATGCTCTCAATGTGCTTGGTTTTCTACCGTAGTGAAGGGCTAAAAGTGATGGAATAAATTTATGAATATCAAACAGAAGATTTTAGGGATCCATTTTTTTTATGTCACCTTAATTATCAGGTTTACTAAAGTGTTTTAACTGATAAAGTTTATCCGTTAATTTAAATTTTGTCAAACTTTTGGAAAAATTTTTGAAAACTTCCGTACATCTATTTTAAAATTTTTGACTCAGAAACACTTTTTTCTTATTGTTGAAACTTGACTAATGCATGGAATAATAATACAACACAAAATGTACTTAGAACAAAATGTATTGAAACAAGAAAGTGTACACAATATTTACATATAGTCTTTTGTATATTCTTGGGAAGACCGTTCCTGGAGAATGTGTTGACTGAGTCGCAGTCGGGCAGAGTCTCTGGTTGAATCTCTTGATTCCTCCCTCGTCTTCCCGGTACCAAACATATTTATATGGTCGGTACTCCACTATGCAAATTAGGTGGATCCTACCACAACACTTATAAAAATACTTAATTTTAGGTGGCTGACATAAATTGCTCGGCCTAACTGAAAATTGATGGGTTTCTACGACTTTTTATTAACTAAATTTTGCGATCAGCCCCTAACGTAAAGTGATCTTCTTTTCTTTTTTTTTCAAAAATAAGCAATTTCAGTACAGCAAACCACGAAAAACTTAGGTCATTTTAGAAATCAGCTCCATCAAATTAGCTAAAAAATCTGATTTGTTTCTCGGCACCAAAAGTCACATTGACCAGAGTTAATCCTATATGGTAGTTAAGAATACATTTGCACTAACACACGATAGCGTTCAACACAAATGCCAATGAATTCGCAAGGATATATCTCTGAAACCGACCCTTAAAGCCGAGTTCCGTTCATGAAAGGAAATGTTCTATGTGTGGGGGGGTCATCGGTGTATTATTCATTCAGGGTCTCTTTTAACGAATTGAAACGTGAAAACGCATATTTATACGCCCAGCAGATTCAATGTGTGTACAGAAACGTTTGGTCTAAGAGCTCCATATGCTCGTCAATCGCTACAATGCTGTTCTCCCTCATGATGACCCGAGACTACGATCAGTAAGAATAACACAGGGGAAAAATATGGGGATTCGTTTTTTCTTTCTTATTCATTTCAACCCAAACAAGGCAATAAATCCACTAAAACGCAAGCGGTTGCTGAGTATGGAAAAACATTATTAAGGAGAGAGAACTATAAAAGAATAGGAATCAAGAAGACAGTAGATAACGATTGACATTGCATTTAAATTTTCGGAGATCAAAGTTAGGAAGCAAGAAACCAGAGGAGTGTTCCACAAGCGAGAAGTACGAGAGAAGAAACTGTTAGCATAGAACCTACGGTTATATCAAGCCATTTCATCTGAAAATAATTAAATCTTGCCGTCAATCTAGTTAGTTAAGCGACATGCGTTTGGTCGACCATGTCTTTTTCGATTCATGACTGACTAGGCAGAAGGTTTTCTCGCAGTAGGCTGCCATTTTTTTCTACGATAGACTGGTTGTCAACCAAGGCTATAGGAATCAGTCTGTCCTGCTATTCAACCCATAGCTGGGCGTAATATTAATGGATTTATATCTTTCCCAAGTGTATTTGCGCGTAAGTGAATGTAACAAACCCGACTGAAATTCGAACTCGGCTCTCAGATTTCTCAACGGAGAAATCGATTCATCAGAACTGTTACCACGAGAATATTTATAGAAAAGGCAGACGAAAGCTACATTACGAAGATGGGAAAGTGACTGAATCAGAGATGGGATACTAAGACCAATAGCATTACAGATGCTACTTTATATTTTATCAAGAATTTCTAAATTCATATCAGAAACACCAGACCATATGTGACATCAGTATTCAATGCATGGAAGAATCATAGACATAGAAATATGTAAGATAGATTTTGGTGAGAAAAAAATTGCCTAGCACGACACAGTGAACCAAATTTCGGAGCAGTAGAAATGATTTAAAATATGCTTAAAATAGTAACAGAACAAATATGGCGACCGAAAAGTCTGGAATAAACGTTGCTCGTAATATTAGCGCAGTATTTGGAAGAAAATGAAAGTTGATTCAATAAATTTGTCTGAACTACTCCAACCGCATTCATTTGACCTTACACCGACCGATTATTACCTTTTTTGATCGGTGGGTTGACGTTCTCTGATGAAGACTTGATTTAATCGTTCGTCGAAATATTTTTCACATCAAAAACCTCTTGAACTATCGAAGAGCTGCCTGATAAGAGGCAACAACTCATTACAAAAACTGGTGAGTATATGATTGAATTAAATGCAACTGTAGTTTATTTTGGGGAAGAATAAAGTTGATAAATTAAAAACGTTAATTATTTATGACTGAACCTAATGAAAAATATGACCAGGAAGATAGAAATTCTATGTAACAGTAGTGAAATTTTAGTTGTGTTTCAAAACAGGATAGTCTTCTGATTGGTCAAATGATAAAAAATTTCAGATAAAAAAAAAAGTAATTTTTATGACTGATGAGCTCACTTAATTGCTTTGACAAAAGAAAGGTAAATTTTTATGTGTATTCTCGAGCACTTCCGGTCAGTTGAGAGATACACATAGATAGAGAGAGTGAGTGAGAGAGAGATAGAGAGAGAGAGAGAGGGGGGAGAAATAGATAGAGAGAGAGAGTGAGTGAGTGAGAGAGAGAGATAGAGATAGAGAGAGAGTGAGTGAGTGAGAGAGAGAGATAGAGATAGAGAGTGAGTGAGTGAGTGAGTGAGAGAGAGAGAGAGAGAGAGAGATAGAGAGAGAGAGAGAGAGAGAGAGAGAGAGAGAGAGAGAGAGTGAGGAGGGAGTGAGAGAGAGAGTGAGGAGGAGGAGTGAGTGTGAGAGAGAGAGAGGGGGGAGAAACACGTTCGGGGATTTGGAGGTCCGAATAATTTGACGAGCTGGGTAAGAAACATAAAAAAAGGAGAAAACGTTAAAATGACTTCAGTAAATTTGCCATGATATCTTAGAATTTATGAATTTCAGTGCAATATTAGACTGGCGGCAAGATCTCAATTTACAGTCGACCTAGCTAGATGTAGCCGTAACTTCTGTACTGACAATTTCTTTTCTCGCGCCTATCGTCTGTGGAACCCCCTTCCGGCTCCATGTTTTCCAGCCAACTTTAATCTGCAAGAATTTAAATGCAATGTCAATCACTATCTCCTGTCCTCCTGATTACTCTCTTCTCTTTCTAATCGTTACTGATGTTTCTGTTCCTTATTTCCTTCACACCCTGCTTCACTGTCTTGCTTGGAGTGATACTAATTAAAAAAATAAAATCGACTACAATTTTTTTTCTTTTGCTTAACGGCTGTATTTTATTTTCGAAATCAGCCTTTATCTTGCAGTACTTCACTCACGGTTGATTCTAACCAAAGCAAAGGCGAGCCATCCAACTAGTTTGAGGACCGTCCTGGGTATAAGGACAAACTACATCCGACAGCAAGGCCTTTGATCAGGAGGTTTTGAGGAGCATGAAACCACCTCTTAATTACTAGGGTTCTCAGGTCTACACTAACCCAGGGTGATAGCACCTGTCAGGGTCCCAGCTATGGGTAAATAGTTCAAAACACTAGAAAGATGTTCAAAACACTAGGAAGATGTAATAATAGGTTTTAATACCAACAATGCATTTTTTGAAAAAAAATTACCAGCAATTAAAATCATGTTGCCATTAAATAACCCATTGAGGTGTTGATATGCCTCAAAACAAACAAATTTCAAATAGTGTGGAACGCTCAGTTAATCACCAATGTTGGTCATAATAAATTAGGAATATTATTTTTCTGTGTAGAGACTACTGTATGTATATGTGTGAGTGCGTAAGCGAAAAAGTATCTGGAAAATTATACGTTCGTGTGCGGAGGTGAGAGAGAAAATTGGAAATTGGTACATTTACGTGAGTGTGTGTGCATGTGTGTCAGATAGAAAATTAGGAAAAATCTATGCCTGTGTATATGTATCTTTATGAGAGAGAGAGAGAGAGAGAGAGAGAGAGAGAGAGAGACGATGAGACAGGGAAAAAGAAACAGTGAGAGACAGAAGGAAACACAGAGAGAGAGAGAGATTAGAAATGTATATATATATATATATATATATATATATATATATATATATATATGTGTGTGTGTGTGCGCGTGTGTGCGTGAAGGAGAGAGATATAGAGAGACTGAGAAATTGAAAGAAAGAGAGATCGTTCGGAAGTGTGTGTGAACGAGAGTGTTACCATGTAAAAAAAGACAAAGAAAGAGAGAATTTGGAAAAAATTACGCTTGTGTATGAGACACAAACACACACGCACAGAGAGAGAGAGAGAGAGAGAGAGAGAGAGAGAGACAGACAGACAGACAGACAGACAGACAGACAGACAGAGAATTTGGAAAAGTATATGTTTGTGTGTGGATGTGTAAAATAATGTAGAAATATATGCTGTGTGTTAGTATGTGTATGCGTGTGAGATAGATATGAATTGACTGAGATAGATCTATAGATATGAACAGACTGAGATAGATAGATAGATAGATAGATAGATAGATAGATAGATAGATAGATATGATAGGGGAAATGAAAGAAAGTGAGAAAAGTTTCGAAATGTATACGTTCGTTTGTATGTGTGGGGGAGAGAGTGAACGGCAAAGAAAGAGGGAGAGGGCATTTGGAAAAACGTACGCTTATGTATGGGTATGAGTGTGTGCGTATGTGAGAGGAAAAGAGAAAGAAGGTGAGGGAGAATTCAATAAAGCAGACGTTTTGCGTCTGTTTGTGTGTGTGTGTCTGTGTGTGTGTGCGTAAGTGAGAGAGCGTTATAAAGAAAGAGAATGGAAATTTAGAAATGCATAATTTTTGTGTGTGCCTGATAATGAGAGACAGAGTAAGAAAGAGAAAGAGAGTTTTTAAAAGTATACGTTTGTATGTATGTGTGTGTGCGCATGTGCGTGCAAGAGAGAGAGAGAGAGAGAGAGAGAGAGAGAGAGAGAGGGAGACAGAGAAATGGAGAATTAGGAAATGCATACGTTTGTGTGCGTGTCTGTTAGAGAGCGAGTATGTGTGTGAGAGAGAAAGAGAGAAAGAACATTTAGTGTCAGTAACAATCGCAAAATAAATATTTTTTACATACGCGGGGCTAAACTATTTTACTTATAACACCTTACCTAAGGTCATTATCGATTTGTAGCAACGACAAGGTATAATATTCTATTAATCACAAAGTTCACCGGAATTGCTTTTACACACAATCTGAAATTGCGCCAAGCCACCCCCAGGAAATCCTTCCTAGGAACTACAAAATGAAGAAGTTGTGGAGAACCTTGATCGCCTACGTTCTGAAACTACACGGCACAAAAAACGAAACATCTTTTTATAGTACTGTGCGGGAACAGATGTATAGTTTCATCTCTTGTATCGATCCTTAATTCATTCATCTAAAACATGCGAAGTGTTTTAGATTCAAGTGGTCGCTAGTTTGTCCTCATCAACGCTTATTGACTATACCTGATGAGATACGCCTCTAAAGGAATAATTTTTAAAAAATAAAATCCACCTAAAAAACCTTTGAGAAGTACAATTACTAATTTCATCGTCATCCAAATATTATGCTAATATTAAAAGCAATATTTTCCAGCCTCTTCTGTCGCCATATTTGTTCTTTTACGATTTAAGCAAATTTTAAATCCCTTCATGACTCTCTACAGATTCATTTTATTTATTATCTGTGAATGGCCACGTATTCTTGAGAAAGATAGTGGTTTAGAACTGCTTACCTTTTTTAAAATACCATCTCTCTTCACGGCATAGGCAATCATGACACGTCACAGAATAACCTTCTTTTTGCGTATTGTTATACGTTCTTGGGAAAGATAGTTGAGTGGTTTTCTCGTTACTTTCTACATGTTGTGAAATTTAGAGTTTTCCTTCTCTTAAGAATGGGTGTTACCCAAGGCGAGAAAGCCCGAGGAGAAGACACGTGTTCATGTATTTCCTAGGAGCATTTTTGTGAAAGCGAATGCAACAGATTAGCCAGGAATTTGAACACAGTTCGCCGACTCAATTTTCAGCGCTGATATGCGTTACATCACCCGCACGTCCATTACAGATATACTTGCTTGAAGTATACTATGTATTAAATGTCGTGTATAGGTCTCATATTGTTAATAATTCTAAAAAAATATTCTAAAAATTCTATGGCTTTATATAACCTGCAAAGGGTTGATAAGTCGTAAACAACAAATCAAGCAATCAATCAGTCTCCTCTTCATCTGTGAAGCAACTGTCCAGCATTCACTACCATACAGAAATATTGATATTACAGTGTGTTTCCCAATTGTTGAAACAAAGCAACGGCTTATCAGATGGGGAGAGATCGATAAGTGTGAGGACTTTGATGAAGATGAACAGTGGTTTCAGTAGTATGGTGATCCTCCTCACACTGCTAATATTACCATGGAATGGTTCCGTGAAAAGTTTGGGGAGCGTCTCATCAGCCGCAAAGATGAAGTGGAATGGGCACCTCACTCGCCTGACCTGAACCTCCATCCAGATTTCTTCCTCAGGGGTCTAATAGGACAACCCTCGCACCATTGCTGAATTGAAAGGAGCCATCACTGAGAAGATTCAAGCGGTCACCCAGGAGAAATGTGCACGCTTTATCAACAACTTTACATTAAGCAGTGCCTTCAACTGAATGACGGACATCTGGAGACTTTACTCTAGGGTTCCTTTTGAAATTTTTGGTTCATGTTTGAGACTAAATGGTTGCAGATTCTAAAATGTTATCCTTTCACCTTTTAATCAATGTAATTTTCATTGCTCTATCATTTATGGCCCTTGATCATTTTCTTTCAAAAATTGTGAATTAACCTGTACGTAGCATTTCAGCACATTTTTATTTGTTATAAATTTGAAATTTTCCCGTTTCTTTATACTTTGTTTAGCTTTTGAAAGGCATTATTCGCAAATTTCAAAGCGCCTTCCGATTAATCAGCACCGTTTTATGTTGTCTGTTATAAAACCCAACCCCGTTATTTAAATTTCTTTATTTGCATGATTTTGATGATTTCTATTCGTAACTCGCATCTTGGATTGTCCCTCTTCTTATCGACTATCCACTCCGTCTTCTGATAATTTATAATTAGTTCTTCTTTCCCGCTTTCTTTAGTAGATTATAAATCGGATTTGGGGTTCCACTGCTCACTGGAGGCTTACAGCTAGATCACGTTGAAACGCCGACTCAAGTACGATCAATGAAGTTAAGCAACGTCGAGCTTGGCCAGTACATAGATGGGTGACCGTTTGAGAATACCAGGTGTTCGAATCTTGGATTTGCAAGTGCGCGTGACATGGATAACGGTTCGGAATTGCTAATCGGAGAACCGAATTCCAATTCCCATTAGGTTCGTTATATTTCAGAAACATGTGTGCAACAAGGGAATTTTAAGAAAACTGAATATGAAAAGGGAAACCTTACTTAAAATCAGAAAGCGACATTACTGAGACAAATAATGAAGAAAACGGGTTTGGAGAATTTGACATTCACAAGGAGTGAAAAGTTTGTCATATGTTCTTGGGAAAGATAGTTGAATGGCTTTCTTGTTGCTTTCTACATGGTGTGAAGTTTAGAATTTCCCTTCTCTTAAAATATGGGTGTTACCCAAGGCGAGAAAGCCCGAGAAGACGAGACGTGTTCATGTAGATGAAAGCAAAAAGACAATTATCGAGTAAACTACCTAACGAGTTTCTATAAATGGATGGTGGGAGTGATAGTAAATGGGCAGATATTGTTAGACGTACAAAGGATAGGAAGTTGTGGAGAGCCTTCATCATCCACGTTATAAAGCGGCACAGTACACAGAAGATATATCAAAAGTACGTTTCCCATTTTTGCCGGTCTGAAAGTTATTGTTTTCTGAACTTCTACTTATCGTGTTATGCAACTTAATCGTTTTTGACTAAAATAATTGCCGAATGATTTTCGGCTAAGTTTAACAAGCGTATCCATCCCAAAATGGCATGAAGGAAGTCTTTTCTCTTCACACCGTTATTACTGCATATTCCATCTTTTTGTGGCTATGTATGTTAAACTTCATTAAATTATCCTTGTCAACAATCTAATAAATAAATAGTGTTTAACATCTTTGTTGTCAGTTCTCGAGAAAATTGTTTTTAGAGGTTCAGATGCTCACACCCTATTTTATTTAATTTATGTGGCGAGAGAAAATGTAAGAAATACTTAGAAAATGCATTTTCAAAATTTATAATTCTTTTCTTGTTTTTGTGTTAACGGTCATCTTGATAAATTTATGAATAAAAAAACTGTTTTCATACTCATTTCTTTATAATATGGTAAATAATAACTACTGCATTTTGATTCTTATATTTTCATAGTCTTGTAAAGATATGATTATTCTTGGAAATAAATAATCTAATAAATAAATAATCTCTAACGTTTTTACTGTCACTTCTCTAAAAATGTATGAATCCAGTTTCATGCTTAGGTTTTATTTAAATTTTAAAAATCGCCTTTTAAAACAATAAAAATTACCGCGAGAGTATACAGTCAAGCGAATAAAACACTCTTTTGACATACCAATTTTTATTTTTACGGGTACATTGTTAAACGTTGTTAAATTTTCATCTTGACTTTTTCGAACAAGTATACGAGTAATTACTTCACAAGAATAAAGAACAACTTGTTTAACCCCTTCACTGGAGAAGACATCTATATACGCTTTTTTTCGAAAGAGTCTTTTTTCAGACACGGACGAATGAACACGTCCGACACATGATATTCAAAAACCAGCGACAGACATGTTTATACGTCGATCTTGATTCTTTTTATGCCCTTCTGAGTTTGAAACGAGTTCAATTTTCAACTCATACGTCTGGTAGAGGTGTTAGTCTTCTCTATGGTACTTCAAGGTACCTCAGTTTCTTAGTTACTATATATAAAAAAAACAAAAACATATACAAAAATTCGTCTTAAAATGAAACGTTTTCCCAAAATAATTGGCGGGGAAGGGTAGAAGGAGAACTTGCTTTGAAAGGAAAACTTTTTAATGCAAGTTTTTATTTCGTGAACGCCATATCGTGATTTTCGAGTGAAATGCCTTCTCTTGTTTTGGGAATTAAAACCTCTCAAAGATTTTTACAAAGTTTTTAAATAGTACATATATTTTTCTTAGTAAATGATTATAAAAGCAAAATTATGACTGTGTCTTGTATTATGACAAATTACAAAATAATCAAGTATATAAAAATGTCTGTGTCCGTGTGGTGTACTTTTATATGAAGTTGGACCAAAATTCCTTAGTTTTTTTTCAATAGGTGGCTTTTGGACTCGTGATTTCGTTTCACACGTGATTGATATATACATATTCTGAAAGGTGGCATATCAACGCGTCTTTATATACGCTTCCTGTGTACGTTGTGAATTTGAAATGCTTTTTTTTTTTAAAGTTAAAAGTGGAAATAGAGGAAAATGAGATGCCACTTCACTTGTGGACTTTCAAAAGCAACAGCACCTATATTGGATATTACATGTAACTTGAAGAGAAAATAATGGCATAATCAAGATGTTGACATTCCACTCAACTTTAAATAAACGTTTAGGAAGGAAACGCCCATTTAGACTGAAAGAGCAATAACAGCTAATGGAGTTGA